TTTGTTTGCCTCCCATCCTTTTTTCTTTTTCTTTTTTTCTTTGTGTCTTTTTTCTTTTTCGGTTCTTCTTCCCTTTTTTCGTATTACCCAGCTGAGCGGATGTACAGCGTAGGTTGATTGTTTCGCCGCTCCTTTCTGAGAATAAATGAAGGGCCCCCCCGCGACACCACTCCAGTCCTCTAGGGAGCGGGTTCCCATGACTCACAGCGGGTTCGAGAATAAGGGTGCGTATAGGCCTTAAGAGTAACTCACTCTTAGACTGATGCGTGATAAGGGGTGGGCCGGCGCAACTGCGCTGAAGTTTTTTTCCTTTTTTTCTTCTTTTTTTTTTCCTTTGTCTTTTTTCCTTTGTTCGTTTTTCGTTTTTTTCCTTTTTTTCCCTTTTTTTGTTGCACGATCCTTCATTTGGCGCCCGTCGGATTAATGCATTAGATGGTTGGATAGGATAGCTAGCGTTCATTAGAAGCGCGCTGTATACCTACTATATTAGGACTAAGGATAGGCGATGCTATTCATCAATTTACTGTGTCATGGCCTGCACTGACGGCGGGCGGAACGTGGTTCGACGCGATCTTTGCGGGAGATATGCGTAGCATTCTTTGCGGCATGGATTTCTTCGGCGACTGGGACCAGGAGGAGCAGCGGGGGCGGGAGGAAGTGGTAACACTCCTAGTATAGGACCCTTCTCCTTCCAGACCGCACCTCGGCCTTACGCCATGCAGACGGACGCGACGTGCCCCGTCAAGCCTCATCCGCTCCACCAGTCCTCATTCGCACCGGCGCTCAATGCTTACTTGGGCTTGCTATTGTTTTTTGCGCTGCTTCCCAACGTAGCCATAGCGGCACTGTTGTGCATCGCATGCCTCTCGGAAAGGGTGTTTCTGCATACCTCATCTAGGAACTTCGCGTTGCTCATTGCTTGCACCATCGTCTTCGGAGCTCTATTGCTTGCTGGCTGCTGCTGCCTATTCTTTGCCCTTGGCTCTGCTCGCTGGGTGGGCACAATCGCTGGATAGGAGCGGACAAGGAGCACTATGGAGTCCAAGGCTGCTACAGGAGCATCGTCTCACGTTTTTTTAGCCTTTCTCGCCTTTTTATCTTTTCTCTCTTTCCTCTAATTCATCTATTCCCTCCCCCCTCCCCCTCAATATGACCTCTGTCCCCCCTTCCCCGCCCTCTCTACCCCCCTGAAGGTCCCCCACCCCCCTGACCATCCATCGTCCTCTCGAAATACCCCCATGCACACCCCCTCAACCCCCCTACCTTCCAAAGACCATGGGAGATGTCCCCCCCTCTGATGACGCCCCAGATGGCATGGGGCAGAAAAGCGCTTCAGGGACTTGCCATACCGTTTCTACAATCTGGCGAGATGGTCCGTGCGGACATAGGGGCACCTTGGACCTGGAGGATAGAGCTGGAGTATGGTTTTTTCTTTTTTCCCTGTCACCGCCCCCGCCCTTCCGTTTCTCTCCTTCCCCTTTCCCTCTCTTCTTTCCGGTCTTTTTAGGATGACGACTTGGCGGATCGCAGCTACTTGCTACTTGTAATTGGAATAATAATTGTTTCATTTTGAGATATTTTTTCGCATATGACTCTTTCTGATTGGTCATTCTGTGTCTTAAGAATGCATTGTTTATGGATCATGCATTGTTTCTTGTCTTAGGTGATTTGTCCTCGGCCTATTACATCTGTTAGTATCTCGCTTTTCCAAATGATATCCTCCTCCTTCTTGTTCTTCGCCTTCTTCCTCTCGTTCCCTTCTTCCTCTCGTTCCCTTCTTCCTCTCGTTCCCTTCTTCCTCTCTATACCTTTGTGTATTTTGGATTCGTGACGTTGCGCACACACTTGGTTGTGAAATATCTGATGTTTGCTTAATGAAATGGACCCCCACCCTTGGTGTCGTCTTGCGCTACTTTCGCATATCTGGCTGCCCTCGTCGAAATCTGCTTTTTTCGCCCTTACTGGCATACGGACGAACAGTGTTCTACCCTGCCGCGTTTAGGTTCGCCCCCGCGCCTTGCAACCCGCCCACGGTATGCCGACGGTTGATGTTGGAGCAACATGGATATGACCTGTCGTATTCATGCGTCTCTCATGTGACACACACATACTACACACCAGGGAGGACGAGTTTCCTCGATCGCTGTCAGGGGGTGCCCTCTCTGACCATGCTGTGAGGCTCTTACTGCGGCGTTTTTTACACCGCTACGTGGACATGGGTGACGGTCGTGGCCATAGGGTACGACGGGATTCGTCTGGACGCTGGGGGTGACGGCTTTGGGGTTTTGAAGGAGCAGGGCATGAGAAGGGTATGTGGTAATTAGTGAATGCTGACGAAAATCTCTTGGGTAGTCGGTGCATCTGCCATGTCGTAGTGCTTGTTCCGTCCACGCTCGTCATTTAACTTTTTTTGCCCTATGTGTGTGGCCGTGCGTGTTGCGACTTTTTTTGTGCCGAATATGCATCTTGTCTTTTCTCACCCCCCCGCCCCCCCATCTGACCCCCTCCCACTCCCCTCCCCCCTTTCCTTACCTTCTTCCACCCACAGCCTCCCCCTGGAGGAACTCTTCCACCTTCTCCTTTGGCCCGAATGTTTCCCTTTGCCTCTCCCTTCTGTTTCCTCTTTCTTTTCTCTGATTTCTTGTTCCTTTTTTTCTTTTCTTTTTTCCTCTTCGTCTTCTCTCCTCTCCTCATTTTTTATACTATACTTCCTTTTTTCTTTATCCGATGCCATTGCTTCTTGCTCTTGTGGTTGTTTGCTGGTCGCGTTCCTCTCCTGTCATATCCCTTCCCGTGTTCTTCCCGATCGTTCATTTCGCTAGCCCCCCCCAAAAGAGGCGACCCCCGGGGGATGGTGGAATGAGATCACGTTTAGATACCCATGGCTGACACGGTGTACCTGCCCTGCAAAACCTACACAAACGCTGTTTGCGTGTGTCAACCCCGGCGTCATTGGCGCTATCAAGGAAAAATGGGACACCGTGAAACTATCCTCAGTTTTTTGACATGATAGGTTTTAGTGACCTTGTCGTCCTTGCGGGAGCTTGGGATAAGAGCAGGGAGGAGTTTGATGACGAGCTTAGGGTCCTGTGCGAGAAGCTGGAGTTAAGGAAACAGTAATACATGAAGGAGTGTAGGGAACTCGCGGGGAGGGCGGCGAGGGTCGAACAAATCTTCTTGAGAATCTGGGGGTTGGATGACTCTCACCTAGACGGTAAGGTACCCGAAACCCCTGATCATAATCCTCCCGTCAATCACGATACTCCTGCCACACGTTGCAATGATCTCGCAATCGAAGAGGAGGAAAGGATTGAGATGGAACTGGCGATTGCCGCCATTACGGCCTCCATCCGGGATTCTCCGCTCACAACTGAAAGGGTAGGAGGTAGTGCGTCGGAACGTGATCAGTACACCGCATTTGTACCTCTCGCGTCTGCTTTTTGGGTTGAGCATATGTCCACTGGCCACAAACACGCGATATGGAAAATAGACACTTTCAACCACCTCGCACCGATCTCCATACGAGCATTTCAGTTTCTGGGGAACATCACGGACGAGCAGGTCAGGCAATGCAGGGCACAAATATTAAAAGGGAAATTGAAATACAGTGGCAGGGTTACTCCTCTGGACCCGCAGGATCTTAAGTTCCCCCCTATGCGCGAGTTGGATCCGGACAAGTGTGGGGCGTCTAGTTCAGGCATGTGGCAGAAGGGCATCAGGCAGGAAGGTAAGCCGGAGCTCAGGGCTTTGAGGAAGGTATGGAGTGTAGGACGACCATACTTGAAGTGTAAGTGCAAGAGAGAGAAGAACAAGGACTGTGGGGATACGCCTCTTTGGTTTGATCACGCGATCTGGTACCTATTAGCGCATCCAGACATTCTCTTCCCAACTATGACCTCGATCAAAGTCCGCACGTCGATGCTTATACACTATCTTAGGACTACCTGGAGAGATGGTGTGCTTGCGGCGATCGGCTTCCACTTCCTCAGGGACCTGATGATCGGCTTCGTTAAGGAGCTTCAGGCCGACGCAACCCTGAACGCCGAGAGCATAATGAAGGAGGATCGTCTCTGGAATTACCCCATCCCGGCTGCGCTCGCACGGATTATGTTTCCAACACGGATTCCTGAGAAACCATCGAGATTCCCGCTTGCCTCTCCACGAGCTGCGGCGAGGAAGAGGGGTGTAGGGGCGCAGGTTCCGGGCCAAACCACGCTGAACTTCCAGAGGGTCCGCCCTGTGGAGGGCGCTCCTTCTTCCCCGCCGCCTCCTCCTCCTCCTCCCCCTTCCCCCATGCCTCCTCCTCCTCCTCCACCCCCTCTTCCACAGCAACCTCCGGTAATGATGGTCGCGGGGAATGGACCGGTGGCGAATGGGCCGCATTTGGCTGACGCTGCTCACGATCCTCCTCCAACAGAGGGGCAACGAGCGGTCCCGCTGCGTGCCGCATGGGCACCAGTTCTTGCCTCCCCTATCCCTTCCGTGCAGCACCCCCTGATGATTATCAGAGGACTCACCCCACCACCAGTCATCCACATCTCGCCAGGAAGCTCCGCGCAGTCCACACTCACCCAGTCGGATAAGAGAAGGAGAAAGAACGCAGGTGGTAGGGGTGGGGGTAGGGGTGGTGCTTCCACCGCCAGCAGGCGCTCCACGAGGGCATGATATCTTTAAATCGCAACCCTCCTCTCCACCCCTTCTCGCGTTTCCTCTCTTTGTACATTCCTTCTGCTGGTATTTTTTCCTCTCGATTCTTTCATATTCCCTTCTTTGATGATTCATGTTTTTATATATACATATCTTTCTTTCGTCTTTTGTTTTTCTCCCCAACACACTCCGTATTTTGTACATTCAGCGCAGGATCTAAGCTGCTAGGTTGACGCTCCCAGCCAGATGGTTACCCTTCCGAGCGGCAAAAGAGCATGGAAGAGGCAGAAGTCGGAGTGTGAGTGTTTTCTGCACCTGAGGTATACCAGTCGCGTCATGGAACCGCTCTCGATCCGGAGGTCCTTAGTAGAATTATTGGTGATGATACGGCGACTTGGTTGGAGCGTACCAGAATCGGTTGGACCTACAACTGCAGCACAGCCTCAAAGTTGTGCAGACCGGCAGAGTTTTTCTGTGAATTCGACGTAGCACGCTGGATGGACAGCTATGATCCGGAGCACTGTCCCTGCAGGGCGCAGAGATATGCGGACATGCGCAGCACATGGTCAATCGAGCTACTCCAGAACGAAGGTTGCACGCACGTTATTACCCTGGATTCGTCCATTACGGACAATCCATCGCTTCAGGGGATCATCAATGCTGGCCTCAATCATATCCCATGCATGGCCCTGGACGTGGATGAGGCAACCACCGAGTTGGGGAACTTCTTGGACGATCTTTTTGCATGGGTGTTGGAACTGCGCGAGCTCACTGACTCCACCAAGTCGTTTTTGCGCAAGATCATTCTGAAGAAGGCAGGAGGGAAAATGGAGAAGTATCGCATGGCGCACACGCACGCTGCTCTGGAACCTTTTGAGCATCCGGCGGTTAAGAAGGAGCTGGAGTTCTTGACGCACAGATTCCTCATTTGCCCAACTGATAAGGCCCCTAACACCCTGGCCTTTGTATGCAAGAACTTCATCCGGAAGCTCGCCTTCCAGAGGTTGTCCGGACCGGAGTTCGCCTGCGTCAACGCCTCTCCCGCGGCGATCCTTACGAGCATACATGGTGAGCTCTCCGCATTCCTCGCACTTCTTGTGGTGCCTGCGACGCTTCCGTACCTCATGACAGTGCTAAAGGCGCACAAGGGCACCTTCTGGTGGATCACGAATACCGCCAACACCATCATCTCGCCTGCGGCTGAAGTATGCGCCTGCCTGCTACGATTCCTACTTCCGCTTGTGCAAACTTTTTGTCTGGAAAGGAGCATGGAGGTGCAGCAACAACACGGGGTGAAACCCAACCTATGGTGGTCCATAAACTCGGTAGGCGAATTCTGCGCGAACTTACCTGAGAAAGTCTACTCGGTGTTCACGGCCGATATTACCAGGTGCTTCGAGACCATCCCCACGGACGGCTCCAAAGACAGTCTCTCGGCGGCGGTCAGATTCTATGTGCAGTGTGCAATGCGGATCAGGAGGGAGAGAAATTCTAGCCACGCAATCCGGATCAGGTTTGGAGGGAACGACAATCCTTGGCCTTCGTGGGCGGATGCTGATCAGCCGGAGGAGATGGGTGCGCTGCTGTTCAAGGAGGAGGACATCTGCTGGATTACGGGCTGGTGCATTGCAAACAGCTTGCTGCGCATGGGGGATTACGTGTGGAGGCAGGTGAGGGGCATTCCCATGGGATTGGCTTGCTCTCCCATCTGGTGTGACATATACTTTTTCAAGTATGAGTATCACGCCATGATAAGGCTTGTGGACACAGGGAATGTCCACTTGATCCCATGTTTTGACAACACCTGCAGATACATTGACGATCTGGGGGCGGTTAACAACACGGTCATCGGCGGGTTTCTGCGCAAGAAGGGGGACAGACTGGCGGATGATCCATGCTGGATCTATCCGGAGAAATACACCGAGATAAAGGAGAATACGAAAGTTAGTAAGGATGGAGTCGGGCTGGTTGCTAATTTCCTCAGTATGACAGTTACCGTTACCTGCCCCATCGCCGACGCTTACTCCACCACCAAGCATGACAAGCGTGGTGGACTCGGTTTTTCTCCCTGTAGGTTCATAAAGTACAGATCTAACAAGAGCGTCAAGCAATCACTGCAGATCATCACGGCGCAGGTGGCACAAATTTTCCTACTATGCTCTGAACCGGAGGGCGCCACAAATGAGATCGCAAAGGTCGTGACAGCAATGACGGGGAATGGTTTTTCTGCGGAGTCCTGTTGGAAGGTGGTCAAGAGGACCCTCCGGATGGCGCATATCTACCAACTGGGTAGATTGTCGGTACACGTAATTAGGGAGGCCCTATCCAGTCTATATGGGATTGCTGGCTAACGTGTTGTAATTGTGTCTGTGAATGTGCGTTTGTGTGTGTATGGTGTCCGAGGGATGACCTGGCCAAAGGGGCCGGTTGTCCTCCGGGCATCCGACCCCCGCGGCCCTGGTTATCCCTCGGAGGGTATGGGGTGGGACACACACACACACATACGCATACAGGTGGAGGGACGACATAGGGAGCGGGAATATGGCCGTGAGGGAACACTGCTGGAACTACAGGAATGGAACTCCCCCTCCTTTTTCTGTTTTCTGTTTTCTTTTTTCTTTTTTTCTTCCTTTTTTTTTTTTTTTTTTTTTTTTTTTTTTTTTTTTTTTTTTTTTTTTTTTTTTTTTTTTTTCCTCTTTTTCTTCTTTTTTTCTTTTCCTTCTCCTTCTTTTCCTGTCCCCCTTTTTTTGATAATTTTTTCCCCTCTTTTTTTTCCTTTTTTCCTTTTGTTTGCCTTCTATCCTTTTTTCTTTTTCTTTTTTTCTTTGTGTCTTTTTTCTTTTTCCGGTTCTTCTTCCCTTTTTTTGTATTACCCAGCTGAGCGGATGTACAACGTAGGTTGATTGTTTCGCCGCTCCTTTTTGAGAATAAATGAGGGCCCCCCCCGGCGATAACACGCCAGTCCTCTAGGGAGCGTGTTCCCATGACTCACAGCGGGTTCGAGAATAAGGGTGCGTATAGGCCTTAAGAGTAGCTCACTCTTAGACTAATGCGTGATGGGGGGTGGGCCGGCGCAACTGCGCTGAAGTTTTTTTCCTTTTTTTCTTCTCTTTTTTTTCCTCTGTCTTTTTTCCTTTTTTCCTTTGTTCGTTTTTCATTTTTTTCCTTTTTTTTCCTTTTTTTGTTGCACGATCCTTCATTTGGCGCCCGTCGGATTAATGCATTAGATGGTTGGATAGGATAGCTAGTGTTCATCAGAAGCGCGCTGTATACCTACTATATTAGGACTAAGGATAGGCGATGCTATTCATCAATTTACTGTGTGATGACCTGCACTGACGGCGGGCGGAACGCGGTTCGACGCGACCTTTGCGGGAGATTAGCGTAGCATTCTTTGCAGCATGGATTTCTTCGGCGACTGGGACCAGGAGGAGGAGCAGCGGGGGCAGGAGGAAGTGGTAACACTCCTAGTATAGGACCCTTCTCCTTCTAGACCGCACCCCGGCCTTACGCCATGCAGACGGACGTGACGTGCCCCGTCAAGCCTCATCCGCTCCACCAGTGCTCATTCGCACTGGCGCTCAATGCGTACTTGGGCTTGCTATTGTTTTTTGCGCTGCTCCCCAACGTAGCCATAGCGGCACTGTTGTGCATCGCATGCCTCTCGGAAAGGGTGTTTTTGCATACCTCATCTAGGAACTTCGCGCTGCTCATTGCTTGCACCATCGTCTTTAGAGCTCTATTGCTTGCTGGCTGCTGCTGCCTATTCTTTGCCCTTGGCTCTGCTCGCTCGGTGGGCGCGATCGCTGGATAGGAGCGGATAAGGAGCACTATGGAGTCCAAGGCTGCTACAGGAGCGTCGTCTCACGTTTTTTTAGCCTTTCTCGCCTTTTTATCTTTTCTCTCTTTCCTCTATTTCATCTATTCCCTCCCCCCTCCCCCTCAATATGATCTCTGCCCCCGCTGCCCTGTCCTCTCTCCCCCCCTGAAGGTCCCCCACCCCCCTGACCATCCATCGTCCTCTCGAAATACCCCCTGTCTCTTATACACATCTAGATGTGTATAAGAGACAGGGGTTAGACGAAGAAGAGAGGGGAAGATGGGAATGTCGTCAACACCAAGTCTTCGGTACAGGTCCCAAATAATCCCTCGTCAAATGTCTGAATCCCAATGTCGAGTCTGGATCCAAATGTCGTCAAATCCCAAAGTCACCAATCTCTCTCTCTCATAGTCTGCAGATATTGAGCTGTCTCTTATACACATCTAGATGTGTATAAGAGACAGGAATGCATTGTTTACGGATCATGCATTGTTTCTTGTCTTAGGTGATTTGTCTGCGGCCTATTACATTTGTTATTATCTCCCTTTCCCAAATGATATCCTCCTCCTTCTTGTTCTTCGCCTTCTTCCTCCCGTTCCCTTCTTCCTCTCTATACCTTTGGGTATTTTGGATTCGTGACGTTGCGCACACACTTGGTTGTGAAATATCTGATGTTTGCTTAATGAAATGGACCCCCACCCTTGGTGTCGTCTTGCGCTATTTTCGCATATCTGGCTGCCCTCGTCGAAATCTGCTTTTTTCGCCCTTACTGGCATACGGACGAACAGTGTTCTACCCTGCCGCGTTTAGGTTCGCCGCCGCGCCTGTCTCTTATACACATCTAGATGTGTATAAGAGACAGCCCCCGCGCCTTGCAACCCGCCCACGGTATGCCGACGGTTGATGTCGGAGCAGCATGGATATGACATGTCGTATTCATGCGTCTCTCATGTGACACACACATGCTACACACACACACACACACACACACACACACACACACAAACAAAAAGAAGTGTGACATTGTATATTTCCATGTTGTAGCGGTAGATTCATTCGATTTTGCTTTTTTTTTTTTTTTCTCATTTTTCCACCACGAAAATTTTTCTTAATTTAAAAAAAAAAATACTTACGTGAAACTCGAGATCCCCCTCTACCATCCCTGGGGGTCAACCCCCCCCCCTCCCCCCCACACCGGGCCTTGGCACGTTCCGACGGAGACTGTCCGTACGCCCGTATGACCGTCCGCCCGTCCGTAAAGAGGGGTCGTACGGAGACCCCTGTACGACGTACGGGGGACGACACTGCTCACCCCACTCCGAACTTGTATCGGTCGCCCCACTATGTGTCGCATACCGTAACGGTACAGACCAGAACAAGAACCGACCTCTCTCACAAAGTACAAGATAACACAGCGGAAGGCTTAAATACCAATGATCCGAACAATCAATATTGCCATGCAGACCAAACATACATCATCATCATTCCATGGTGTGAAGGGGCCTGGCGCTCACACAGGAAAATTGAGTCAGTCCCCAACTATACACGGACGAAGAAGAGGAGGGTTAGACGAAGAAGAGGGGAAGATGGGAATATTGTCAACACCAAGTCTTCGGTACAGTCCGTCAAATGTTTGAATCCCAATGCTGAGACTGGATCCAAATGTCGTCAAATCCCAAAGTCACCAATCTCTCTCTCTCATAGTCTGCAGATATTGAGAAGTTAGGTAGCGAGAGGGTGAGGAAGAGATGGTGGACTTAGAAGAGGAAGAAAAATAACTCTCTCTCTCTCTCTCTGTTCGGTACTAACCTGTGAAGGTGGTGCCTTGTTGTAGGTACATCGAAGACGAAGCTCGAGCTATGGCGCCACAGGTGCCACAGGTAAGTCTCCCTGACCTCAGCCAACCATCTCTTTCTCTCTCTCTCTCTCTCTCTCTCTCTCTCTCTCCAATGCTACTCTAGCTCCTACTAGCGCCCAATACTGAAGACTACTGCCAACGCTACTACTACTCCTGCAGTGCTCCTCCAGAGTGTTGCTGTCGAATCCTGAAGACTACCTCCTGCCTCTTGCACCTGAAGTGCCAAGGAAGTTCCTATGAACTGCCTCGTGACTGCCTGAGGCTGTAGGGCGGGCCAGTCTTATATAGTGCTGGCCCGTCTAGGAGGCTGCTCTTGCCAATGCCAAAACGTGCCAGACCCTGGCATTGAAGTTTAACCAAAGGTTGTCTTGAAAACAGGCCCCAAAGTGGCCTGTGCTAAAACCCTGGTCTGGTGCCTAAGTTTCAGGGCAGGTCGATCTTATGAGGGCCTGAAAATGGACCTCCATTTCAGGCTGAAAAGACTTAGGGCCTGGAGGACCCTGTTTTACGCTGAAACGACACAGGGCCTGCAGACCCTTGTTTTCAAGCTTTCAGGCTGAAACGATACAGGGGTTGTAGGCCCTCGTTTTCAGGCTTTTAGGCTGAAATGAAATAGGCCCTACACCTACTGACCCTTAGTCTACCTTGTCGGGCTTTGCTGGGCCCGTGTGGTACAGAGTATGCCACACTCCCCCCTCCTTGAAAGACCGAGCTTACCTGCGAGGGCGAAGCTGTTGGTTGGGAGGGATTGAAGTTCGGGTGGGAGGATGTGCAGCTTCCGTGGCTAGCCATTTTTTCTCATAACCAGCGTAGATATTTGGTGCGGAGGCTTGCAAAGCTACCCGGGAAATCCATCGCGCGTCGTCGCGGTCGCACCACTTGAATGTGACTTTATACTGCATTGGCTTGTTGCCGTGCTTGCGATGAGTGATGATGCGGTCAACTTCCTGATGACCATCCATGGAAGGAGGGTCCAGCGATCGTCGGTCCGGGAAGTCGTCGCTCTTGGCTGGTGTATATATGGCCAGCTTGGAGCCGTGGAAAACCGGGTGCACCGTGAGATGAGGTGGGATTTCGATTACAAATGAGGGCCCATCGGGCTCATCGCCCGCGACTGCTGTGATGGGCCATGGTCCAAACCACTATGGAAGTAGCTTGTGGGATACGTCTTATTTAAACGCAAACTCCTCCGTGGAGATCCAAACAAGGTTGTCGGCGCGGATAGGGCATGGCATGCGACGCCTGTTAGCTTGTTGTTGCATGTGGACTTGAGTTTTTTGCATGTTGGCGTGGGCTTTAGCCAGCAAGTCCCTATACTTCCGAACGAAGGCGGGAGAACAAGCGGCGTCAATGTCGGCAGTCCTTGGAAATGCAAGATCAGTGAAGATACGACCTTTCTTGCCACCGTGGTGCAACTCGAATGGAGTCACACCGATCACCGGGTGCAACGAAGTGTTGTTGGCGAATTCGATGTCGGGGAGGCAGTCCACCAGTCTTTCTGATCCGTACGAATGAGTGTGTGACACTCGCGGTTAACGACCACCTGAAGTTTCAGAATGAAAGATTCTGAAGTGGTCTGAAACCGCTTTAATGGCCTGAAGACACTTCAGGTCATTTCAGAAGTTTCGGGTGGTTTGGAGGACAAGTTTT